GTGGGCGAATGGGCGAGGGGGCGACTCCTGGACATAAATCCCTACTTTGTTTTTGGCTTTGCGGAGGTCCGGGAGACGAGCATAAACGAGAAAGGCTTACTGCGAGGTCTATTCTGATATTCTGATTTACGCAGGCGAGGTAAATTTACGCTTTCTATTTGTGACGTAAATTATTAATTGCCCTAAGACTTATAACAAAAGAGAATTGTAACTTTTTTGTGTGGGCGACTCTTTTGGAGCAAAGTACATTCTTGCCTGTTAAAAGAGTATTTCCCTACTTTAAAGTAACTATATGTGAAGTTTTGGTGTAGCAAATGAAGGTTTTAAGGGTGATGGGAGTTGACTTCTAACAAAGCGACCGAAGTATCTGTTTTGATGCAGCAGAAATGGCCAAATGCTTTAGTGTAACAAATCATTAAAAGCCGATTGAAGAGGCGGAAACTACAAAGTCTTCAACTGGAAAACAACATTGATCGTTTTAAAGTGACGCAAACTGTGTAACATACAAGGATACATCTATATAGGCTAATGGCGTAAACTGTTAACGAATTGAATAAAGGGGATGTTATGCTTGCAAAATAATTGCACATTGCACCTGAGAATGGCGTCCTTGGAAAAGGTTTATTACAAAGATAGAATGAGGTTGAGTAAAACCAGTAACGAAATAAAGGTTGGAAGAGTGTGAAGCTCAGTGCAAATTCACGTCTATTCCTTCTAAACCTCATCCCAGTACTCAAAGTTTTAGATCTATTTCACTACACATACAAACACTGTACCTATCACTCTGAACATAACAAGCGCATCTTTAAGCAAGCCTATAAAAATGACACCAGCACTTAAACATGACACATTATCCTCATTAGCCTAGGCCTACAGACGCGCCGGCGCCGTCCAGCGTTCCACACGATACCTTGCATTGTGTGATGCGTGCCTCTCCGGCCTAACCTATCAGGATATAATGTGACAAAGGTAGGCACGGTCACGTAACGGCGGAGAAAAAAGTAACAATGCCTTTGCTATATCATCGTCGACTTAGCAGGAGCCAAGGCCTTGTGAGTGAGGCATCCAATCATTTTATATATTATAGTTTATCATTGTTACCGCCATTTGTTTGTCATAACTCTCCTTTGTCTATCATCGTTAACTAAATTTCCAGTAAATGAAACCGAACATGATAAACCCAACACGCATCAAGATTCAAAGCCTCAAAATAGGCTTAACATTATGGTGATCTGATTAAATTCCCAACGCGTGTCCATATTCGTGGCCTGATACCCGATCGTAACTCAGAGTCACGGATTTGACCTGATGTGCGAGCCTATTTTTGTTTGTTGTAAGTGGTATTTTGACGCGGCTATCCGACCCCATTACAGCGAGACAAAAAAAAATCAAGTAAAAAAATGATAAATATAAAAATAGCGAGGTTTTAGTAGAAACACGGCTTGAAAAGGGAGGGTGTCTGAGAGAGGAAAGGGAGGGGGCGGGAACACATGCCTGTGGACTGAGTCAAGTTAGGTCAGCATTACAACTTCAAATCGCACGTCACCCCCCCCTTAAAAAAAAAGTACGGATGAAGTCGGCATGAACACCGACCAGCGGCCGCCCCGCTGCCCGCCGCCGCTACACAACCGACCGTCAAAGTCGGCGCTGTGATACGAATACTAAATCCCACCTTCGGGTTAGCTGCGCCTCGGCTTTTACACAAAAGGGGACCTGTCAACCTATCCTTCGCCGAACCCTCATCCTAGCCTCCCCCTATCCCTTCGGCTCCCCTCGGGACCCCAGACGCCGCTCTTAAAACCGAGACGCGCAGTCCCATAGGATACCGAAGCAACCAGAGGGCAGTACACGTCGTCCTCCCTACACGAGCCCGCGACATGCAGCCCCGAAGGATAAGTATCACCCTAATGGGGTACAAAGCGCCCACCCCCTCCCCTCCGCTCCTCAGCCTGATACACGTAATATTCAGCACGTAATAAAAAAAAAAAAAAAAAAAAAATAGGAGTCGGAGCGAAGTAAGTCGGACTTCATTCAATTTTCCAAAATAAAAAAGCCAACGGTATCGATCATCCCATCAAGAGAGAGCTTATGAACAGGTAACACTAACTGGAAAGAGACAGGCGAGCCATGACACCCGATCCAATTCGCACAACAGGCGACAAAATGCACAGCCATTGTCTATTTATAAAAGGATCGAATCCCTTGAAATACGTCAGTAACCGAGTACTATACTGATACACTAGAATTCTGCTCAATTATTCATCAACATTATTATTTAACTCGTATTTTTCTCCCCATATCACAAAGTCTTTCTCCATACGGCCCGACATGTAATAAGACCTGCAGTAAGTCATTCCGAGTTCACAAGTAGGCTACTAGGGCTGGCTCCTACTAGTCACGCTAATGATGACAAATCATGGGTAATCAATTGCTTTCGTATGACTCCAGGGAACTTTATACGACTTTGTAAAACATAATTATGACTTGTCGCGTCGTGATT